ATCCCTATACAACCCTATAGAACCCCCAAACCCCAAAAAGTTCCTGGCCAAGAAGCCTGCTCTTCTTTGGAAAGGGACCGCGCCCGTTTGGGGGGCAGCGTGTCAACTGACAACGTCCAAGCCACTGAGCACAGCTGCGGAGGCCAGGGGTTTACGTAGCCTTGGACCTAACCCTAAACCCTAAATAGATGGAAGCATAGAATTGCAAGTTGGCAACTTGAATTTGCTTTGGGGGGTTTTCTAGCCTGGGGTGAAAGGAAGCTCCTACAGAAAATGGGAAGCTTAGAGGCATCATGCAAGTGGCCCGTGCCTGCCGAGACTTCATGGAAACCTGACACTATTCAAAACTCAGAATCCATCAAAAACTGTAGCTAGCTATAATATATAATATACCGCCACAACCCAGTTTTCTGGGCCTCTGCCGTACGCCCAGAGTCTGTTTATTCTTGTCCACCCAAAAGGGACCTTGAAGCTTTGATATCTGGGCTTCTCGCCGACCCCATCCCTGCAGCACAGTGCCAGGGTGAGTGTACGGGTTCAAGTAGAAACCCTAAACCCTGAACCCCAAACGGTTGTTAGGTTTGAGGCCTCGGGGCTTCAGGCAAGACCCTTCAAGCTGCCCAAGGCCTAAACAAATAAAATAATGAGTTTGGAAGGACGAACCACTTCTGTGCATGTAGTACAAGAACCTCTTCGGATGGTTGCTCGAGCACAGACCTCAAGAAACAGTGGCTGCCTCTGTTTTGGGGCTTCTAGGCGTGATGCCAACATTTCCGCAGCACCACTTTAGCACCCGCAGCACCACCGGCATACGGACTGGGGGTGAGACTTGAGAGGCTGTGACTTATGTAGCAAGGACGACATACAGACCGAGTCAAGCTGGATCTCTAATTACTGAGGACTCACTGAGTCATGTGGAAATTGGCCAAAAAGCATCACAACACGGGTCCCTTGTGTGGGGTTCCTCTTGCAGTACTGGGCCCCTATGCTAACAATAATTTAGGCCAAGTCCCGTGAAATCATTGGAGGGCTACTGCCACTTGGGGGTATGCAAGGCGGACCGACCCCAAGCGAACCACTTTGGCCACATCCGAACTTTCTGGATCCCGGAAGTCATGATCACTCTAGTTTCAGTAGCTTTTTGAATGCCGCCATGATCGAGTGCGGGGCTTATAAGTCAACATGTAGTTAGTATATAGTTCTGCTTGCAAGATTAAGAACGGCATTGGGTTTTTTTTTGTCAAGGAAGCCGGTAACTGCCTGGTGACTTCCTGCAAAATATAAGCCCCGCTGCATTCCTGCGCTGAACCCCAGTGAGACAGGGCAGAAGGAGCGCCATTTTGTGAGGCGTGTTTGAACCGAGTAAGGGCATATTCTGCAGGTCATACAAGTATGGAACACTATACCCCCAAAGGAGGACATACTCAAGGAGACATACTCTTGCTCATATTGGCGGCTGCAGTGCCCGGATTTTTAGATAGTGCTCATGTGATCTCCGTCAGTCCTTCTGAGAAGACAACGCGAACACCAAAACTTTTTGCCTGCTGCTGATATATCTTCAAGCTCCTACATTCAGTATACTAGGAACACCATTGACTTCCCAAGGTATGAAGTACTTAGGGCAATGACGGACTTTTGGCTTCAACCGTAGGACCTTGTACATTCACCTCAATCTTAGACGCACTGAACACACCCCAGTCCAGCAGGGGCATCTCCTCTCCAAGGCTGTTTTCAGTAGTACACGGGCTCCAGGTTCTCAATGCCATCAATTGCCTCAGGGAGGAAATCCTACACCCCCATGCATGGCGACCCAGCATTGAGCAGATTCAAAACGTCTGACAATGACTAAGTATCCTTCAAGCGGCTAGAGGGATATGTACACGGTGTTTAGGCTTTAGGTGTTAGGGGGGTTTAGGGGTGAAGGGTTAGTTCAGGGGAAAGAGGTGTGCAGTGGTGCTTGATGTCCAAGGCTCCCTCCCTTGGAACCTTACCAAGGTCTGCATGCCCTGCTTGCGAAGAACCGTATTTACAGCACTCCTACAAAGGCTGATAAGCCCAGCAGTAGAAGACCTAAATAGTTGGACATGATATTCTATCACTCCGGAGATGTCCTTGTGAGTCTATACCTGCACACCTCGGAAAGGGGTAGTGCGGAGTCCATGTGGGGGACGTGAAAAGTATTGTGATCTCAGGCTGACAGACCTGAGCCTTGATATTTGGACTGATAAACCTCAACAGCTTGGGATATGAAAGTTGAGCTATGTGGGTGGTTGTCAAAAT